CGACCAGCAGTGTAGGTCCACGTCTCAGATCCATAAGTCATCACTGGCAAAACGCACTGGTTGTGCAATCAAGTGTTGAAATTTTGAGATATACCCGACGACAAGATGTGTCTTAATCTCCCGAACACTGCCCAGCCGAGTTGAATTCGTCATTTCACCTCTCGGTCGAAGTTAGACTTACGTAGTTAGACTATTTATCCCAGGTAAACATACTCGTCAACAACTTAGAGCTTAGTGTTCCCTATATTTAACGAGTATTTTAGGGCTGAATCTAAATGTCAGTGTGATAAGAGAAGACTGTGGGTTTGCAAGATGATGTTGTGATCAGAATTAAGAAAGGAATACTTCGGTGGTTTGGTCATGTAAGAAAGAAAGAATGGACGAGGAAAGAGTGACAAAGCAAATTTATGATGCAGAAGTGAACGGCAGTGTCGGGAAGTGACGCCCAAGGCGAAGTTTTATCGACTAAATTGATTGAGATATATTGACAATGAGTCAGGAAAAAGTATCCTTAACCGAAGAACATGGACAGGTGTTTCAGCATCACTTGAAATGTACGCAGCGCACCGTTTATGCTTTCTTGTTACCTTTCTCTTACCTTTTCTTTGTTACCGACATAGGTGTGACATGGACGTTAAACATGACTTTTGTTTTGTCCATGTTCATCTTAAGACCTGTCCATTGGGAGACACTATTGAGGTTATTGAGCATAGTATTGAAACCACTAGCAATTCCTTCATAAGAACTGTATCCTCAGCAAATCGAAGGTTAGTGATGTACTCGCCATTGATGTTAATACCGTATCTTTTCCAATCCAGTAACTTGAAAATGTTTTCCAATGCAGCGGTGAAGAGTTTCGGGGATATTACGTCACCCTGTCTTACACCTCTTTGCAGTTGGATAGGTTTCGTACTCTGGTTCTGTACTCAGATAGTTATTGTAGCGCTACTGTACAAACACTTCAGCTCTTCGATATACCGAAAGTCAACTTAACACTGCACTGAAGGGACTGTTGCACCGCCCAAATTTCAAAGAAATAAAAGGTCTACATACACATGACATAGTGGCAGATTGTACTCCCCGGTTTTCTGTGCAATTTGCCGAAGGGAATGTATGTGGTCTATGGTGCTAAAACCTTTTCGAAAACACTTACTCGGGAGGCTGGAAGTCGTCGAGTCTTCATGCGAGACGATTCGTATGACTCTTTCTATATGACTCTCGAAAACAGCACGTAGATGCAACTCAGAAGGGAAATCGGTCTGTAGTTCTTCAAAAGTGCGTTGTCGCCTTTCTTGAAGAACAAAACCATTGCACTTCTGCTCCACACCTCCGGAATAATACCACAATGGAGGTGGAATTAAAGAGCTTCTGAAGGACTTTATACACTGGTTTTTTCGGCAGTCAATTAGTACAATGGTATAACGCCAACAATTTGTTAGCAGCAGACTTAGCAAGCAGACTTAGCAAGCAGACTTAGTTAGCAGACTTAGCAAGCAGACTTAGTTCTGCAGCATATCCTGTAAGAAAGATTACCTATCTCGGGAGCGCTAGGTTAGTTGATTTAAGTTACCTTCATAGTATAATATGTTGTGGAATTTAGCTATGGTTTAACGTGATAAATTTGGCATCGCAATATATTTATGATAATGCGCATACTTTAAACACTAGGATTAACAAATGCTTGTAATGACAGTTACTAGCCTCCACAGAATTGTTTTTTTATTCATGGGACAATGTGTACGCTTTTACAACAAAATCCCAAAAAGTTCAAAATTTGTCAATAAACAAGTTTGTAAGTATTATTAAAGATAAATAGTCATGGATTCGACCCCACACAGAGTGATACAAGTACGTCCATAAATACTATTGCTGACTTTGCACCCAGTGTGTGGCCTATATCGTGTCACTTGAGTAAGCAAATGTAATAGAGTCTGCATGAAAGATGTATTAGAATAAGTTTGCCATTGTTGAAGTACATGAGCTTCTGTACGGACATCTCTTAGTTTTATTTTAGTTTTTAAAAACGCCTCCACCGCTCCCGTTAACTTGACTGGCGCAGCCGGTAGGATCGCCATTTGCTTGCGCCGTCCGCGAAATAAATTCGAATGAAATCGTTTACCGCGTTCGTGCCGCGAGGCGATCCTGCGAACCAATATAAATTTGTCAAGTGGAGAGCAGCTGAAGATGACGAAGGCCGGCTGGTGAGTCCAAATTTTCACCTTCCTTTCCTTGTCATATTATATAGTTTTGTTATTTTGCAATTAGACCTCTTGCGATATAACGTTATCTGGTTTTACATAAAAATCTGTGAAAATTATATTTAAGAATACTTAAACTTAATAACTAACTGCATAAAGAAATACTAGGAATAACTAGATAAGTAAGCGCGTCCATGCAATAACGACGCGATAAGAGCTTGCACTGTAGGAACAAAGCGATTATAACTATTACAAATTATAATTGTAGTGTATGTTCGTTGATTAAATTTTTATTGAGGACTTATTTATTTCATATTTTGTATTTTACTTATTAATTATTTTACTTTTATTTTGACTGTGTTTTTGATTGTGAATTTGAATTCTTGTATTAATTATATTATTTTATCGCCGTATTTTATAAAATAAAGTTCTACAAAATGGAAGATCAAGTGCAAATTAAGATGATTCCTAGTGAAATGCTCAAAATTGTACCGATATTCAACGGTGATAAGCACCAATTAAATCTTTTTATTCGCAAATGTGAGTATATATTTAATAAATATAGGGGAGGGGATCCGATGAACAAAATTTATACGTAATGTACGCGATAACAAGTAGACTCGTAGGCGACGCTGCAGCGCTCTTAAGCGAGCGCGAGGACATTAATTCGTGGGAAGATTTTAGAGAACTGCTAATTCAACATTTTGGAGACCCTAGGAGTGATGAATGTATTGCTATAGAACTTGAAGGTTTGCGTATCCGAAACAACGAGTCATATTTAGATTTCTGTAATAGGATCCAATCCGTTCGTAGTGTTTTAATATCGAAAGTAAATAGATTAACCGATCCGAATGTAAAGAGTAGCAAAATTATTATATATAATAACACATCTTTAAATGTCTTTTTGTATAATTTGCCAGAAAATATGGTGCGAATTGTTCGCTTAAAAGCGCCCAGTACACTAGAAGAGGCTTTAAGCGTGGTCATGGAAGAAGTCAACTTCCATGAGCAGTATACCTTACGTAATAAAATGTATAGTAATCCTAGTAATAAACTAACGCCACCCAGTATACCAAATAATAATCCTACGTTTAAATTCGGTACAAATAATTTTAACTCAATGGCACCTATGGGCTATAAACCCGAATTAACCCCTAACAAATTTAACTTTGGACTTCCGCAGGGGTCACAATCAAAACTAACTCAATTTAATAATAATCAACAAAATTTTGGATACCGTCCCCAACAATTCGGCTTCCGCCCGCAACAATTTGGTATAAGCCCGCAACAGTTTAATATGCGCCCACAACAATTTAATATGCGTCCACAACAGTTCGGGATGCAACCACAAACATTTAATAAACCTCAACAATTCGGTATGCGCCCACAACAATTCGGTATGCGCCCACAACAATTTGGAAAACAACAAAAAAACTTTTATAAGCCCCAACAATTTGGTTACAAGCCTCAGTTAAATAAAAATCAATACACTGGGCCCAGTGACGTCACAATGCGAACGGCACCACCACTTAAAACAAATCAACAAGGCTTTCAGTTAAATGAACTCGACCTTGATAATACGTATTACGATGATGCGTGCGGCGATGTGTACCCACTTTCTTATGATAACTGCTGCTATGAGGAGTACTCAAGCAGTGGCCTTAATGTTCCAGAGCTCGATTATTATGAAAATCAATATCCGACAATAATTCCTGAAGTAACACAAAGCGTCCCAACCAATACGGACGACAAGGATTTTCAGGTCGAAGCCTCGGAACTTACGAAAAAATAGAGTTAAATTGTAGTACTAATTTGAGATTGCCGTTTATTTATATACCGGAAATCGACTCCAAGTTTATGATTGATACAGGTAGTACGCGCTCATTCATTAGTCCATTAAAGGCTTATAAGTATTTTCCAGAGTACATAAGTCACGAACCATTCGAAGTCATTAGCACACATGCATCGAGCAGACATGATCAAGTTATTCAAATCCCGTCTTTACCAATTTTCAACTGTAACGATATTCATAAACTATACATTTACAATGTCGACTCTAGGTACGATGGCTTAATTGGGAATGATATACTTTGCAACCTAGAAGCAGTAATAGATTAAAAAAACGAGATTCTTAAAACTAAAACTACCGTAATACCTATAATACATAGTAAATCTTCTTACGTTTTGGAGTTATCTCCCCGGTCCGAGCAAAGAGTCAAACTCCCAACAAATTTATATTCAGGTAATACTGTAATCGATTATAAAGAATTCTGTAAGGGTGTGCGAATGCCTAGTGCGTTAGTGAGATGTAAGGTTGGTTATACGACTACAGTAATCCAGAATACCTTAGATATACCGATAAAATTAACTATAAAAAAACCATTGAATGTAGAAGCATATGAAGAGAGTAAAGCGACTAAATGTTAACCATATTACAGATATGTCAGATATTGAAGTAGATAAAATATTAGAGCAAAATTTAGAGAAACTACGCTTAGACCACATGTCGGAAGAAGAACAAAAATCGATATACCACTTATGTAGAGAATATAAAGATATTTTTATAGCGATCAAATACCTTTATCTTTTGCTAATGAGGTGAAACACTATATTAGAACAAAAAACGAAGACCCTATCTATGTCAAACCCTACAGGCAACCTCCCGCACAAACACAGGAAATTAAAAACCAGGTACAGAAACTATTAAATGATAATGTGATTCAGGAATTCTTTTCGCCTTGGTCAGCCCCAGTCCATTTAGTTCCCAAAAAGAGAGACGCATCTGGTGAAATGAAGTATAGGATGGTTATCGATTACAGACGTCTAAACGACATAACTGTGGACGATAAGTACCCTTTACCCAATATCACTGACATTTTTGACAAACTAGGTAAGAGTACTTACTTTTCAACCTTGGACTTAGCAAGTGGATACCACCAAATTGAGATCAACGAATCAGATAGACAAAAAACGGCATTCAGCACAGAGAACGGACACTATGAATTCCTTCGAATGCCCTTTGGCCTGAAGACAGCTCCAGCCACCTTCCAAAGAGCCATGGATAACATCCTAAGAGGCTTACAAGGAATTCATTGCCTTGTCTATCTTGATGACATAATTATTTTCTCGAGTAGCCTCCAGGAGCATTTACAAAAATTAAGGACAGTTTTTGACAGATTGAGATTGACTAATTTAAAAATACAACTTGACAAATCAGAATTCTTGAGAAAAGAAGTGCTATACGTAGGGCACGTTATTACTAAAGACGGACTTAAACCAAACGATGATAAGATTCAGGCTGTATTAAACTATCCGTTACCAAGGACGACTACCGAGATCAAGAGTTTCCTAGGATTGATTGGTTATTACAGAAGCTTTGTAAAAGACTTCGCCAAAATCACCCAGCCCCTTACAGCATGCCTAAAGAAAAGAAATAAAATTGTAATAGATCAAAAATATATTGATGCGTTTCAGAAGTGTAAGGAGCTTCTGACTAATGCACCTTTACTCCAATACCCAGATCCAGACAAACCTTATGTTTTAACTACAGATGCTTCTACTGTTGCTTTAGGTGCGGTCTTATTGCAGGGGACAATAGCATCCGATAAGCCCATTGCCTACGCCAGTAGAACTCTCAGCGACACTGAGACCAGATATAGTACAATAGAGCGTGAACTACTCGACATAATATGGGCCGTAAAATATTTTAGACCATACCTTTACGGGCGTAAGTTCACCATATATACCGACCATAGACCACTAGTTTGGCTTTACTCACTTAAAGAACCGAACAGTAAACTGACCCGTTGGCGTTTACGTCTTCAAGAGTACGACTTCGATATTGTATACAAAAACGGAAAACAAAATAGTAATGCTGATGCCCTCTCTCGGATAAAACTAAATGCCATAGACTCTGATGACTCACAATCATTGGAAGTAAACCTGGACCCTAAAGAACAAAAACTGCAAAAATATCTGACAGAATTAACTGACCAAATTGTGGACTTAACGACTGAAAACAGGGACGACTCTAGGACAATAACTATAACTGACACATCCGCCACTGTATCCGTCGACCAGTTAGAGACTAACACGAAATACCCATTACCACCTATATCCTCTGATAGTAGTATAGTAACTGTGCATTCTGGACAAGATCTAGAATCTAATGGTATTCCGATATTAAAGAAGGCCATTGACTCAAAACCAAACCAAATTTTAGTTTATACCTGGCATAAAAATGAAGTACAAGTAAGAAATTTATCCAGGGATAAACAAAAGGTTCTCGAAGTTTTTGCCCCACTTAAGAATGAAGATCTTATTAAAAATTTCTTAAAAGAGTACATTAAGCCCAAGACTAAATATTTTATTTATTTCGAAAACATTCAACATAGAAAAGAATTCTCTAAAATTATTATACAGCTATTTAAAAAGGGAATGGTAGAATTTATTGAATGTACAGAGCGTGTTATATATGTAGAAGACGAGAAAGAACAAAAAGAAATCATACTGCAACATCATGAGGGAAAGACGTGTCACAGAGGAATAAAGGAAACAATGAGTAGAATTAAAAGAAATTATTATTAGCAGAACATGCAAGAGACGATTGCTGCAGTACTTAATGTTTGTGATGCCTGTAGAAAAATGAAATATGAAAGAAAACCCATTAAACCATTACTTCAATTAACTCAAACCCAACACGCCCCCTTCCAAGAAGTTTTCATGGACCTTTTTATAATTGAATCCGTTTATTACCTAACTTTGGTTGACGCATTTAGTAAATTAGGACAAGCTATCGAAATCACAAATAGATCCGCACCGGAAATCGTAAGAGCGCTTATTAAATATTTTTCAATATACGGAACACCTAAAAAAATAACTTCTGATCCCGGTAGTGAGTTTAATAATGATCTCATTAAGGAACTTATGACTATGTATAACATACTACTACACATTACCACTCCTAATAACCCGAATTCAACGAGCATAATAGAGAGAGATTCCACTCCACAATTATAGAGATATACAGATTGGCGAAATACGAACGAAAGTGTACAGATGCAGCTACTGTAATGAGTTACTCAATTATGGCTTATAACCACACCATACATAGTACAACCGGCCTTACTCCTTTCGAAATCGTTTTTGGTCATACCGACTCTAATTCAACGTTCACCGCGAATTTCGAGAAATGTTACACCCAACAACTATTAAAAGATCATGCTAAACGTATTAGATATCTATATAATTACATATCAGATAAAATCTTAGAGAAAAAGGAAAAGGTAAGGGAACAAAAGGGCGGTGAAACAGATAGAAATTTTAGAATAGGAGATGTTATATACGCCAAGGAATCTAACATAAGAAGAAGTAAAGACAAACCGCGATATAGGAAACTGTCGTTAGTGGTAATATAGAAAGAAATATAGTTCCTGTTAGGATTGGTAATAGAAATACTTCAGTGCCAATTAAAAATATTAAACGTCCTCCACAGGTGGTGTATAATAATTCTGACGATGGTTCAGAAACGATGGGCCCTTCAACTTCGAAAACTTGAAAAAAACTCAGGAATCCTGCCTGTCAAACTGGGTCGTGCCTCATTGCAAATAGACAATTGGCTTATTATTAAAACTTTAAACTTAGAAGGTATTGATTTAGATTTTAGTATATTAAAGTATGACGAATTCGTTGCGTTGATAGATGTTAATAAACCATATATTCATGAATTTTTAGCTATTCGAACACATGTAGGGTATTTAAGAGATGCAACTATAGAAAAATTTCGGCAACTTGTGCCATCGAAAAGATTTAAAAGAGGCATTATTGACCCGCTTGGGTCTATGATAAAAATAGTAACTGGAAATTTGCATCATGATGATGCCGTCCGATATGACTCATTGATTTCTAAACTAAACGATAATCAGATAATGTCGGATAAGAGAATTACATTAGTCTCCAAAATCTTGGATAGTTTCATCAACAGTACAGAGACCTTACATAACAATACTTTAATATTAGATGAACGCTTGAAGAGAATTGAAAGAATTGTTAAATTCCTAATTACAAAAGAAGAAAACTCCATTTATTCTACCTATGTCCTAGGTATGTTTGACATGTTTTTGAGTTATTTTAGAACTATTAACATAATACTAGGAGAAATCGAAACTGCACTAGCATTCAGTAAGGTATCTGTTCTGCATCAAGCAATTTTTAACTCTACGGAATTGTTAAATTTATTACAATCAATCGCGATAACTGAAAATCTATTATATCCTGTAAATGAAAATAACTTAGTTAAACTAGAAAATTGTATTAAGGTTAAGGCTTTTATAAAAGGAAACCAGATCACGTTTATCTTAGATGTGCCTTTAGTAGGGAATAAAACATATAGTTACTTCAAAATGTATTCATTGCCAATTGCTATTGCAAACAAAACTATTATAGTTATTCCCAAATACCCATACCTGTTGGTGAAAGAAAAGGAATACTTGCCAGTCCCGAGAGCCTGCAAACAAATTGCTTTGGATAATCAATTCCTGTGCAATACCGACCATGTGCTACTGCATACAGAACAAAGCTGCGTGGAACAGCTCATGGAGTTTCAATCAAACCTCGATGCCTGTGAACAGCATACTATGGACATTGAAGATCCCGAAATTCAACGAATAAGCCACGAAAGCTGGATACTGTACGTGAGAAATCATAGAATACTTACCAGAAAGTGCGACAATGACGTCACTCATGAACTTTTATGTGGTACTTACATAATCACCGTAGACGATTTCTGTGAAGCCGAAATTGGAAATATTCATTTTAAATACCACCAATCTTCTTCAGATGACCTAAATTACCGAATTTACCCAATGGCTAACTTGCCAGAACTGAAGATTTCGAAGCCTCCCATTGTCACTGAAGTGAGTTTAAAAGGTATAAATCTAGACGAAACTAAACAATTACTTCAACTAGTAAAACTTAGCAAAATAAATCTCAGTGAAAATGCAAGTGCTATTAATGTTAAAAGTGTGAGTTTAGGAACGATAATTTTGTATGTAATTCTACCAATTATTTTCTGTATTTTTATTATAATTAGACATAAACTGTGTGTAATTAAGCGAAATCATCGGATTCCTGAAAATGCCGATAATTTCGCTCTTGAGGAGGGAAGAGTCATGGATTCGACCCCACACAGAGTGATACAAGTACGTGCATAAATACTATTGCTGACTTTGCACCCAGTGTGTGGCCTATATCGTGTCACTTGAGTAAGCAAATGTAATAGAGTCTGCATGAAAGATGTATTAGAATAAGTTTGCCATTGTTGAAGTACATGAGCTTCTGTACGGACATCTCTTAGTTTTATTTTAGTTTTTAAAAACGCCTCCACCGCTCCCGTTAACTTGACTAATTGTACAAAAAGTGTTATTACAAAATCAAAACATACATAAATGAAAATAACACCTGGGAATGAGTTGGTTCTATTAAATATTATATAAACAATTGTACGCAATTATTTTAAATTTATCTATACATACATACATACATTTATACATACAAACATACAAATAAATAAAATTGAAGTGTCTGTTTGTATTGTCAAAATAACACCTTTTTACTAAATGCCGCAGATCAAACGAATACATGGGTCCTTATCTATACACTAAAATATACAAAGCGAATAATAAAGTCTTGAATATGACCCGATCAGGTTGTAGATTATTGGTACATAAATGGTTACAAAATAAAAAATACGAAGCAACTGAGGCATTATTAAAAAATTATCTCAACTAACAAAGCTTAACAAATTCGCGGACAGTATACCAGACACAATGGATGTTGTATTATTATTAATCCTATAGCCGTACACTGTGCCTTAAATAGAATATAATATCTTAAATAAATAAATAAATTTGATATAATTTAATGCATATTGAGAATAATTAATCTTTCAAAGGGTCTGAATTTGTACAATAAAAGTATAATATTGCAGAAATATTCGCAATTCAAATGCGACCAATGTTAAATTTTACTTTAAAGTTTGCAACAAACACATAAATATGTGTTAGTTTTTATTTTGTTTAATTTAATTTACCTTTTTCCTTCTTCTTTCTGTACTGTAAACTATGTATGTGATAAATCCACTCGTACTCCACGACACAGGGAATCCTAGTGTGGAGCCCAGTGATACTGTTTGAAATTATAAAATAATAAAATATGGCACATATAAATAATAATAATAATAATAATAATAATAATAATATTAATAATAGATTATTTTGAAAAAAGTAATTCTATTTTGGAAACTATGTCTCTTCTATACTGTTGTGCCCATGCTGTATGTATGATAATGAAAATTCCTATCATTTCAGTACAAAATTTTAAGAAAAATAATACAGAACCTAAATGGAAACAAAGAATTCAAAAACGAATTGACAATACTCGCAAAATTATAGGAAAATTAATAAGCTACCAAACAGGTAACAGGCGTAAAAAAATAATTACTTTAGTAAATCAAATCTCTAATGAAAATAATATTAGCCATTTAGATCCCCATTTTCCGGATAAAATTACTGAGTACATTGATACGCAAAAACAAAAGTTAAAAGCATGGGCCAACCGTATTAGACGATATTCAGAAAGGTCTAAACGGTACTTCCAAAATCGCACATTCGAAAGTAATCAAAAGTGGGTGTATCGGTCTTGGGAGAGCACTACAACTAATAGTTGTACTCATGGCAGCCCAAGCTTAATTGAATGTCTAAATTTTTGGAAAAATATGTGGTCTAATGAAGTTTCTCATAATGAAGGCGAATGGATTCGTGCAACCGAACGTAAGTTTTCTAATTTGGCTAACATGGGTTCTATCTCAATTACTGCTGAAGATGTATACTCAATTACTCGTAGATTACACAATTGGAAATCACCTGGACCAGATGGTATACACAACTTTTGGCTGAAATGGATAACAAGTAGCCATGTGCGTTTGGCTGCACAGATTCAAGAAGCCATTGAGTGCTGTGAGCTCCCGAAATTTCTTACAACTGGTATTACCCACTTACTATATAAAAATGGAAACACCACGGAACCTAAAAATTACCGACCTATAACATGCCTTTCAACTGTATACAAATTAATAACTGCAATTTTAAATAACAAGATCTATAAACATTTGGAAAATAATAACATTCTGTCAACCGCACAGAACGGATGTCGGAAAGGGTCACGTGGTTGTAAAGAACTTCTTCTCATTGACACAGCTATTTGCCGACAAGTTTTTCGTAATCGCAAAAATATGTCCGCTGCTTGGGTGGATTACAAAAAGGCATATGACTCTGTTCCACATTCATGGCTAAAGAGAGTTTTAGAAATATATAAAATAGATGACAAAATTTGTAAGTTTTTAAGTAAATTAATGGGTCAGTGGAACACTATCCTAAATCTACCAGGTAAGTGGCAAAGTAGTTCGATAGACTCTATAAATATTAAGCGGGGTATATTCCAGGGCGATAGTTTGAGCCCAACTTGGTTTTGTTTAGCCCTGAATCCTTTAAGCACTGTTATTGAGGAATCTGGATTAGGATTTCGGTTTCGAAAAGAAAACTCACCCATCTCACATCTACTTTACATGGATGATCTCAAGCTATTCACATCAAAAGAGAGTGATCTATTATTATTGTTGAAATTAATACATAGTTTCAACAATGATATTAGAATGGAATTTGGAATAGATAAATGTGCTGTCATAAACGTAAATAGGGGCAAAATTAAAGATTGTAATAATTTTGCAATTACAGATGACTTACATTTCAGTTCTCTTTCTGAGACAGAAACCTATAAATACTTGGGCATGGCAGAAGCGCTAGGAATTAATGACAAAAACATTAAAGAAAATTCAAAAGTAAAATTTATGTCAAGATTAAAAAAAGTTATCAAAAGTCATTTATCTGGCGGAAACAAAATTAGAGCATATAACTCCTGGGTAATACCTAGCCTTCTATATACTTTTGGTATTACAAGATGGTCTCAAACGGAATTGGATGACTTAGATAGACGAGTCCGCACATTAATGACTACGCACAGAATGCACCACCCGCGATCATCTGTCATGAGGTTGTATCTTCCAAGAAAAGATGGTGGACGGGGCTTATTAAACATTAAAAACCTACACAACCGTGAAGTATACAACCTCAGAGACTATTTTATTAAAAAAAAAGACACATCACGCATTCATAGTGACGTAGTGATTAATGACAAATCATTAACCCCGCTTAATATGTCGGCAAAGGACTGGCAGAGGCCTCATACTATGACTATAGATGAACGCAAAAAGGTTTGGAATGACAAACAACTGCATGGTCGATTTTTTAAAACATTGACTAATCCTTGTGTAGACATGGTTGCATCAGTACATTGGTTACAGTTTGGTGACCTTTTTGCAAAAACTGAAGGGTTTATCTGTGCAATACAAGACGAAGTAATTAAAACGAATAACTACCGGAAGTACATTTTGAGGGATGGCACAGTTGACGTATGTCGCGCATGTCACCACCCTGGAGAGTCCCTCAGACATGTTATTTCCGGTTGTTCACAACTATCAAATGGCGAGTATTTGCACAGACATAACCAAGTAGCTAGAATAATACACCAGCAGCTTGCGATTAAATTTGGTTTTACTCAACAGGACGTTCCATATTATAAGTATGAACCAAAACCAGTCCTTGAAAATAGAAGTGTCACGCTGTACTGGGATCGGTCAATTATCACAGACAGGTTTATAGTGGCAAATAAACCTGACATTGTGGTGATAGACCGAACTGCACGCAAGGCAATAATAGTGGATATCAGTGTTCCTCATGACGAGAATCTCGTGAAAGCAGAGAATGATAAAAAGATAAAATATATCGACTTGGCTCATGAGATTGTCGCTATGTGGGACGTTGATTCTACTATTATTGTACCAATAGTTGTTTCAGTCAATGGGCTTATTGGTAAAACTATGGACGACTATCTATCCAAGTTGGGTTTGGGCAAATGGCTGAAGGGATTAATTCAAAAATCGGCCTTATTAAATACGGCTCGAATAGTGAGAAGGTTCCTATCTTTGGATGCCTAATTTCACCGATGGCTTAGGATTCCTCGCCGCGGTGGATAATAGCCGAAATAATAATATTATTTATATAGATTGTATTTATATTTATAATATTATAGTTTTGTGACAATATATATGTGATAATGTAATAATAATAATAATCTTTATTGATCAACTAAAACTTTACAATTATCTTGAAACATGGTTGGAATCTTCTTTTAAGTGTAAAAACACCTGTGCCAGAAGATCCCGCTCCTCCATAGCCATAATACAGATAGTGATCAACTTAATCCGTAAGATATAATAAACTATTAAAGAAAAGTATGTAGTGTGTGTGTGTGTGTGTGTGTGTGTGTGTGTGTGTGTGTGCGCGCGCGCGTGTGCGTGTGTATGTGTGTGTGTGTGTGTGTGTGTGTGTGTGTGTGTGTGTGTGTGTGTGTGTGTGTGTGTGTGTGTGTGTGTGTGTGTGTGTGTGTGTGTTGTGTGTTTGCTTACTAATATTGTAGTGTCTAACTAATGCATTGTAAAATAGCCTCTGCTTTTTCATAGTTTAATTTTTTTAACCATTTTATCAACAACTGTTTACAATTATATCTATTCATTTTATATATATTGAGAATTTTGTTTATTTTATTGTAAATAAAAACTGATTGTTTTTTATATTGATGAGAAGCAAATTTTGTGTTTACTTTCTGCGCTACAATTACTGTACCTCTTCTTTTTCGCAAAATGTTCGAATCATAATTAAGACTACTATGCATTTTTAAAACGGTTTGTAAAATGTATAATTTTCTTACAGTAAGTAGCTCACATATTTCGTATAGCTTTTCTGTACAAAATCCACACGGTTTAAAAATCATTACTTTTAGTAATGCTGTTTGAGCCCTTTCCACTTCCAAAAATTTGGTTTTGGAGGCGCCACCTCATATAGGAATGCAGTATGCCAATATAGATTGTACCAACGCAATGTATACTTTAATTAGTATATTTTTTGATGCTACATGTCTAAGTTGCTTAAAAATCCAAATTAGCTTTCTGACCCTACATATAAGATGTTCTATTTGGTTGTGCCACGTCAAACGGTGGTCTATAATTATACCTAAATACTTAATAGCCGATGCTTTGTTTATGGTTGGACAAGTACAATCTGTATCACTAACGTTTTTACATTTATGAATTTTTATATTAAAATCGTTTTGTGGTTGGGTCCGGTTATTGATGATAAAGCACAGGTAATTCGTTTTTTGGTCATTAAGCGTAAGCAAGTTAGTCCTAAGCCAGAAGGCTATTTCGGCCAGTCCCTGTTCAGCACGTTTGCGAACTGCTTCCCAAGTTGTATCATGAAATACAACAACCGTATCATCTGCGTCAGAAAAAATTTGAGCTCCATCTATTTTTAGCTTGCATAAATTGTTAATATAAACAAGAAACAAGGTAGGGCCTAGTACGCTACCTTGTGGGACACCGTAGGTAACAAAAGAGTCATCTCTAATATACTGTCCAATTTTAACTTTTTGTTTTCTTTGAGACAAGTAGTCCTTCAATAAGTTGAGTGGTGTACCTACGATGCCAATTGTTTCTAGTTTTTGTATAAGGATGGGAATCGAGACAGTGTCAAAGGCCTTTTTAAGATCTAGAAAAACGGCTAAGGTTTTCCTTCCTTGATCTAGTTGGTCAACGATTAAGGAGGTAAGAGCTGTTATAGCATCTTCTGTAGATTTTTCTTGTCTCAAACCAAATTGCATATCAGACAGTATTTTAAATTTATTAACGAATTGTACTAGTCGTTTATTTATTAATTTTGCTATTACTTTTGAGATACTGGAAAGAACAGAAATAGGCCTGTAATTATTAATATCATCTCTGCTCCCATTTTTGTGTACTGGAGTTATTATGGCTTGTTTTAATAACGACGGGAAAATACCTTGCTTAAAACGTAGATTAATCAAATGACAAATAATTGGTACTACTTCATTTTTAGCAAGCTTGAGGAATTTGGTTGGAATATTATGATATCCGGATGCACTGTCTGATTTGAGGCTCATAAGTATATCATGTACCTCTGTCATAACAGTGTCTAAGAACACAAACGAATTGGACTGTGTACGCATAGTATCCAAATGATTTTGTGTTTCTGTATTAATTTTTAAAAGATTATCCGCTATAGACTTGCCAGTGTTAGCAAAAAAGTTATTAATGTAATTAACTGATTCCTTAGGAGATGACTTTATGACTTTTGTTTAACAAAATTGTATTATCCTTATTTGAGCTATTTAAATGGGCAGTTCTTTTTATGTTGTTCCAAAGATTCTTAGAGTTCTTAGATGAAAGTGCTAGTTGCTGTGTTTTATATTTGCGTTTTAATTTTTTTTAAGTAAATTGTTATTCGATATCTTTTATAACTTATTTTTAGAACTTCATTATGAGGATCAACACGAAGTTTTTTCTGCATTTTATTTCTATTCCTAATACAGCGTAATATTCCAGGAGTGACCCATGGTTTCATGACACGTTTGCTTTTGGGTACGTGAATTGCAATAGTGTTATGTTGTAATGACTCAGTTATTTTGTTTATTAGCATTTCTATCACAAAATTGGGGTTATCACAAAACAATACCTCTGAGAGATTTTTTTCAATTAAAGTATTAAGTGCCTTTGTAAAATCAGTCCGTAATTTTGTATTTACACATTTCTATTTTAACCTTATATTTGACAAGGTTAGCAATATCATAGAATGATCAGTGATAGTGGTGTTTAAAACAGCAATTTGGGCATTATTTTTACTTCTATCTAATTTAAGCATAAAATGATCTAAGTAATTACCACCTCTTGTTGGCAAATAGTGACCAACGAGTAAGCCGTGCGTGCTCATCATGTTCAGGTATTGAAGCCTATTGTTGCGCTCATAATTCTGCTCTATACCTTTAGAAATTACATTTATATATAAATCACCAGTCACTGCAATGCGTTTACGTGATTTAATCGTTTCCAAGTGTAGGCTTAAAGAGTTAATAAAGATGTCAGCATTATTGTTAGAGGGTGAGCGATATATACCTAAAATGGTAGTGTCATGAGTATCAATCTGTAAACATGAAGCATGCTCAAGTCTTATTTCTTTGACATTTCCTTTGACACCTTTTCTCATATACACCACCACACCATCACTATGATTGAGATGAAAATTTGTAGCGAAACATGAATAATTTGTTATATTTGGAATTATTTTGTTATCCGTAAGCCAACATTCTGTTAATACAATAATATCTGGATCAAAATTTAAGTGTGTAAGTGTCAGGTGTAGATCTTCAAAATTACTGTAAACACTTCTAATATTTTGAGAAATAATTGTTAAATCACTATTTTTTACGCAAATATTTTTGGTATTTCCTATACATCACAGCGAACAGCCTGTGCAGTCTCCGTGGCATCAAGATCATTTAGAATTCTTATGGAACTATTCATTCTCATAAAGGATATATATGCGAGTGTAACTAAGACCGCGTTGGAGAGGTCTGTCACAGTTTTTAATTTGCCAATATACAATCTGTTCACAATTTATATTAAGTAAAAAAATAGATTTCGGAGCTATTAATTTACGAGGATTAAAGTTTGAAAAATGAAAAGAGATGTCTATTATATTAAGTTGTATGTAAGTGTGTATGGATTTGAGATGAATAGTTAACAATAACATATAAGTATAGTGTATTATTTGTATGCAAAGTATGAAAATGAGTGTGTATAATGTAACGCTGAGGTCTGTGTCACAATAAAATTGTATGAATAGAGAAATAAATAAAAAACAATTAAACAATTCATGAAAATAAAGTGTACAAAGAGCATAATGAACATTTGTAGATACAAAAAAAAATTATTAATATTATGTTTCTACAAAAATAGTCAATGGTTAATACGGAACCTAGTCATGAATCCTGTTGGAGTTGTTGAATTTGTGCTTCAGATTTAATTATTATTATACGAGAGTTTTCGTCTTTTCTCACATAAACTTTACCACAAGCTGTCCAACAAAATTTATATTTCTTGGATCTGACGAGGTCTCGGGCGAGGAAGTGTAGTCGAGAGCCTTTTGCTGTGAGCTGCTCTGAAACAAAGACGGGAGTATCTTCTTCTGTATGAAATCCCAGGTGCTTTGCAGATAGCTTAATTTTATGCTTGATATTAAAGGCCTTGCTCATTTTCAGTATTTCCGATTTTATAAGTGTTGAACATGTTTCAACGACAATTGGAGTATTGCGTAATCTATCCTGCTTTCCGCGCACCCTATAGATGTCCTTGATATCAGTCTTATTTAAGTTGCACCCAATGTTTTCGACCAACATGTTACCATATTAATGAGATCTTCTTTGGTTTCACCCGAATTTTTAGGTACGTTTTTGATCTCGAAATTAGTTTTACGGTTGTTCATTTGCATGTCTTCAATTTTGTCCTATAACAGAGTAATATAGCTTCTGTCCTCTTTTATCTTGCTTTCTAAATGCTCTATTTTCATCCGAAATTGTTCATTTTGCGCAGTTAAAAATGTAATTGAACTTTCAATGTTATTATTTGATTGTTGAATATCTTTTAAAGTGTTAGTAATTTGTTTAAGTTCTTGTTTTTGCACTGCCAATGCGGAGGATATCGTATTTTTAATTTCCTCTTTAAGACTGCCAAAGTCCATAATATTGTCGACTTCTCTCTTTCGCTTGTTCCGAGAACAAGCAAAGTCCGGGGGAGTTCTGTCCCTTTGCTCTACTTGACTTACGTCGTTTTCCAAGAGAGATTTATTCAATTGGCTGTCCATAGTACCAGGCAAACAGGAATATCTCAAAGCTTTAAATAATGAGTAGCAATTTTGATGAATAAAATCGTAAGGACGCTCGCTAAGATACAGTGCGTAGTTTATATTTCCTTAAATTAGCACCACTTATAAACTAGTACTCACAGGAAACAAGCACAAGCGTGGATGTTGGGCGTTACCGGATCAGGATCACAGAAACACGTGCGTATTGGGCGTTACCAGAGCGTGTTTAAACGTACCACTCACAAATGGTAATGTACTAGGGCTGCATGAAACTTGAATACACACTCGTTTATATTGTAATTTGTAATTAAATAAAACGGTAGACAAAGTACACGGACACGTTAGCTTCTTACGACGACCGGGGGGAAGAGGATAAATATGTATCCCCTCTCCCTCGGACCTCGGCAGCGAGCACACGTATTCCAAGTTATCGTTATTTTATTTTAAATATTAAGTTAAATTTAAAACAGTTTTTAATTATATTAAAAAAATAGGAGCGCATAAAGTGAAAAGAGCTCTCAGTTAGTGACAACACCTGCGAAGCGCGCTATCACAAACAACAAGCAGCACCCCGTCCAACCGCCATAACGGAAATCGCGGCAACCAATCATTGCTGACCCGGCTACCTCCAGCGCACGCACCGCCCAGCCTCCCACTGACCATCTACTACGCAACTCGTAGCGGCCATCTTCTTAGCTACGCTCTTTTTGGTTAGTGATAATTCACTTACCTGTTTATGTGCGCCTAGTACTCCAAGTGTCAGACCTTCTTACTTTGCAATTATAGTGATTTTAATTTATTTAAGAATACTTGTTTATGTGCGCCTAGTACTCCTAGTGTCAGACCGTCTTACTTTGCCATTAACTTTAAGCGAAAGTACTCCGACAAAACAGTTTCGCTAAAGGAACCAACAACTAACGTACACAGGGGTTTTAAATATCTATGGTGCTATGGCTTCAAAAACAAAATTGTGCGCGGGATGTTTAAATAAAATAACTAATAAGGACTTTGTAATATGTTCACTTTGCAAAGATATATATGACACAGTTTGCGCTAATATTTCTCACCAACGCCTTATGCTGCTGGAGAAGGACAAGAAAGAGAAATGGATCTGCTCTGGTTGTAGGAATAAAGAACGAAAGGGTGACAATTTAAACACCCCAATCCAGTCCAGAACGGGCCCGCGAGACCGTGGTGATTCGTCGCAGGAAATTAGTACTCCTAACAGTGATTACATAACACAGCGTAAAAAATCTCAACTACCTAGTAATCAGAAGGTGAGCTCACCTACACAACCCGGAGATGAATCCTTAATGCTAACAATTAGATCAGAAATTAAATCATCAATGGGAAAATTTTTAAATCAAGCTATAGAGGAGTCATCTATAAAAATGGATTTAAGAACTATAAAAGAGGAGTTAAGTTCCTTAAAAGATATCAAAAGCGGGCTTGAATTTTTAAGTGCGGAATATGACAGAATGAAAAAAGAATTAAAAACGTCAGAAGAGCACATAAAGTCGCTTTCAGCTGAAAACAGCAACTTACATACAAAAGTGAACGAATTATCAAATATACTTGTTTTACTTGAGCAATACTCGCGTGAGACGAATATTGAAGTGAATGGTGTTCCGGAAAGTAAGACTGAGAACTTAATTAATATTGCCAAACAAATATGCAATACTGTATCTATCTCTACCGATCTCATCGAATCAGCTACCTGTACCAGAGTTAGGAAGATGAACGATTCAAATAAGAGGCCCCGCGCAATTATTATAAAACTTCCTTCAGTAAAAACTCGTGATGAGATACTAGCAGCGGTAACGCAATTTAATAAAAAGAACGCATCCAATAAACTAAACACAGGACACCTGGGATATATAGAAAACAAGTCGCCTATTTTCGTTTCCGAACATCTAGCGCCGTTTTTTAAAGCTCTACATGCGAGGACTCGTCAAGTTGCTCGAGAAAAGCAATACGATTTCGTCTGGATCCGTAACGGCCGCATTTTTGTTAGAAAAAATGACCAGTCCCCTGCAAAACAAATAAAGTGTTACGATAACCTAAACAGACTATAATAATACTTGGACATTTTTAACGGGAATTGATTAACGTATAAAAATGGCTACCTTAAAGATTTATTACCAAAATTTCAGAGGCCTGAAAACTAAAACCAAAGATTTGAGACTTGCAACGTTGTTGGGAGACTACGATGTTATTGTTGGGACTGAAACCTGGTTGAATGACAGCGTTTACGATGACGAGCTATTTAGCAACAACTATTATGTATACCGAAGAGATCGCCAATCAACCAGCCTGGCCGGAAAAGGAGGCGGAGGCGTTTTGATCGCCGTTTCCATTAAGTACCACTCGAAGAGAATGTTTCACTATGAAAGCACTGGAGAGGATTTGTGGATATCAGTAAATATATCGACAGACAAAGCAATTTTAATTGGTGCCATTTACATACCACCACCAATAACCGTGTCGTCACTCGAACCTATTATCGACAACTGCAGTGATGTGATTTTATCTCATTCCGGTGATGTGATTGTTTTAGGTGATTTCAACCTCGGATTTATAGACTGGAATAAAGATTCAAGTGGATGTTGTAACTTGACTCCATTAAATTATCAGTGTAGCTTAGGGTACTTATTGATTGACTTTATGTCGTTAAATAATTTGTCTCAGTTTAATCATGTTGCAAACCATAACAGTCGTATCTTAGGTCTCGTCCTAAGTAACTTAGACAGTATAATAGTCGATAATTGTATTAATCCGCTCTGCAAATTAAATTTACACCATCCAGCTCTGTCGATTGGGTTCAGTTTAAATAAGTATGATTCTTTACGTAACAAGCAATTTGCAACGTATAACTACAAAAAAGCTGATTATGCAATTGTAAAAAGTAAATTAAGTCATATCGATTGGGTGAAAGAACTGTCGGTTCTGGATGACGTTGACATCGCTGTTTCAAAATTTTATCAACTTATACATGATGTTATTCAATCAACTGTACCCAGAACTAAACCTCGTAATCCGAAATATCCACATTGGTTTACAGGAAACCTTATAAAATTAATAGCCGAAAGAAATAGAATTCATTCAAGATACAAGATTTACCGGAATCCTAGAGATACAGAAACAGAAACAGAAACTTTTTTATTCAATATAGATTATAAATAATACTTATTGAAAGTCACTCTTTTGTTTGATTACCACTGGTTCGGAAAAAACCTCTGTCCTGGGAAGAACCAGCAAGAAACCCAGCGAGACTTTTTTTTTTTAATATAAGATAGAACGAGAGAAGAGAAGAGATAAGAGATAAGATTGAACTTATCTTATCTAATAAACGCGTAGAGTCATTAATATCATCTTGCTACAGTACATATTTAAAAAACACTGAATATGCTCTCAGTAAAAACCCAAAAAAATTCTGGTCTTATGTCAAATCCTTACGTGGAGGTCTTTCCAACTTACCCTCTGAGATGTATTTAGACGACAAGGTTGCGCGTGGTAGTGAGGAAATTTGTAATCTTTTTGCGACACGTTTTTCTTCGATTTACTCTCCCCCTGACAATTCAACGCAACCGGATCTAGGAGATTGCTATCCACAATTAATTCTAAGCAATGTTGAAATTACAGAGCGAGTCGTCGAGAAAGTATTAAAGTCAATTGACTCTAATAAAGGTGCTGGACCGGACGGCATCCCACCCTACTTTATTAAAAAAACTTATAAATATTTAACTCTCCCACTTAAATTGCTTTTCGATAAATCAATTAAAACTGCAAAATTTCCTGACGAGTGGAAAATTTCCAATGTGATTCCCATCTACAAAAAAGGTGACAAACGCAATATTGAAAACTACCGACCTGTTTCTTTATTAAGCTTGTTCCCTAAACTTTTAGAAAAAATACTCTGCCCCATTTTGTCTTCTCATTTATCAAAGGTAATTTCTAATTGTCAGCATGGTTTTTGCGCAAATAAGTCTACAGTTAGTAACCTACTAGAATACACTCGAACTTGGCGAGATATGTTGATAAAAATAAAGAGGTTGATGCTATATACACCGATTTTAGTAGCGCGTTCGATAAAGTTAATCACGCCATTCTTTTGTCCAAATTAAATTATTATGGTATTCACGGAAACCTGTTGAATTGGATAAAATCCTACTTATTTAATCGAATTCAAAGAGTAACAACACAGGGTTTCAAGTCTTTTTCGTTTTATCCAACTTCAGGTGTTCCACAGGGGTCGCATATCGGCCCTGTTCTCTTTTTGGTATTTATAAATGACATTTCTGCTCATATTACCTTTAGTAATTACTCAATATTTGCAGATAACTTAAAATTGTATAAGGTTATAGAGTCTCCAGATGATGTAGTTAAATTACAGACAGATCTCACCTCTATCTCAGATTGGTGCAAAAGTAACAAAATGCTACTAAATCCCAAGAAATGTCTGTCTATAAAAATTACCGGAAAGAGAAACATTATTCGCTCCAGTTATTTTGTAGACGGAGAAAAATTAACAGAATCCGAAGTAGTCCGTGACCTTGGCGTAATGATCGATAACAAATTAAATTTCAACATCCATATTGATAATATTGCATCCAAGGCATGGAACAAAATGCTACTAAATCCCAAGAAATGTCTGTCTATAAAAATTACCGGAAAGAGAAACATTATTCGCTCCAGTTATTTTGTAGACGGAGAAAAATTAACAGAATCCGAAGTAGTCCGTGACCTTGGCGTAATGATCGATAACAAATTAAATTTCAACATCCATATTGATAATATTGCATCCAAGGCATGGAAGATGGCAGGATTCGTAAAGCGAATATGTAAGGATTTGCGGAACCCTATATCTATTCTCACTATATACAAAGCTCTTATTTGTAGTACACTAGAATATGCTTCACCTGTTTGGAACCCATCATACCAAATTCACAGTGATCGAATAGAGCGTATCCAGCGCAATTTTACCCGCTACTTAGCCTTTAAAGATCAAACTTGTCCTTACCGTGCTGACTATAATACTAGGCTATCCCACTTCAAATTAGAGTCTCTCGAAAAAAGACGTCGACTTAGCGATCTTAAAACACTTTATAAGCTAATTCACGGCCTCCTACTATCACCGGCACTGTTAAATCAAATAAGTATCAGAGTTCCAAGATCTATACCAAGACATCCGATTACCAAAATCTTTTGTTTATCTAACCATAGAACAAATTTAGGTAAACGAGCCCCAATAAATAGGTTAATGCAAACGTTTAACGACATAACCACCAACGGCGATGTCGACATTTTCCATACGGATAACGTATCACAATTTGCTAAATTATGTAATAAGTATTTATAACTTTTTCTATCTTCTTCAAGTTTAGCGTTAGTTTTTTTTTGTAAGCAAATTACTTGTAAATTTATTAATAATATTGTTCTAGTTAAGTAAGTTAACAACTGTCTTATTGTAGCTGCACTATTTGCGAATGTTGTATATACCTTTAAAGGCAAATCACTTTGAACAAAACCAATTGTGTTATACTTAACAATGTCTAGTGATAAGCCAATGGTGTATCTGTTAAAATAAATAAATAAATAAATGTAACAACAGTAACCAAGTCAGTATCTGTATATTTTTTTGAATGAAATAAATATTTCTTTCCTTCAAATATTACATTTTCATAAATATATCGTGGTGATAAAGTTAATATGTTTGTTTTTTAATATTTTTTCTAAGGGATTCATTATATTTAAATTATAAATCGCTCGTATGGCTCTCTTTTGCAAAACAAATATAGCTTCAATGTCAGTTGCATTACCCCATAGCAAAATTCCATAAGACATCACGCCATGAAAGTAACCAAAATAGACTAATGTAGCTGTCTCAACATTGGTGAGACTTCTAAATCTTTCTTACAGCATATGCTACAGAACTAAGTCTGCTTGCTAATTTAGATATATGGGGCCCCATTGAAGCTTGTTGTCAATAGTAATACCAAAATAAACAGTGACTGACAAGACTTAACTCCTTTTCATTTAAGAGCACATTGGTATTTGAATGTTTAATATTAGGTAGTGTCCGACCGAAACCAGATTTTCAACCGAAACCGAAACCTAAAACGAACCTTCGGTCTGGGTGTCAGTTTTGGCCGAAATCGAAACCGAAACCGAAACTTATTTAGACATGTTATTTTTTTATAAACTGAAATCTGGTATATTTTTTATTACAAAACGTAGCCAGTGGAGGGAGGTGATTGTGTCTACGAAAGGCTCAGGTAGAACCTTGTAAAACCTCCCGTGGAGCTCCTTCTACTTCCACACGGTCTCCCAGTCGGAAACAGACTGTAATGCTGGGTCTTGCCATTGTTCGTTAGCTAAGGATAGAGGGGTAAGTCCTTTATCACAAGAAATAACGTAGCTGTAGAATGGATCATCCGCTTTCGTCAGAAAGTAATTACGGAGACTGCACACTTAAAAAGCCGCGCGTACCATGCTTCCGCGGCAAGTACAACCTCATTACTGACGACCTCGGGTGATGCATCCTGTGGGACGTCATAATAGTGCGGACTTTTCTATCCAGAGCGTTCAGTTCGGTCTGAGTCCACCTGAGTATGCCAAATGTATACATGAGAACAGGCATGATCCAACCGTTATATGCGTGTGTCTTATTAACGCCCGACAAAAGACTGTTAAGCACTTTTGTCAAGCGTGCATAAAACACACCGCAAACTTACTGTTTCATGTCCGCCTCATCGATACCTATGTTCTGTGACATACCCAGGTATCGTTATATTTCAGCCTCGGATAGGGTCTTTATGCTGATGGGCATAGATAAGTCTATGCCCTCAGAGTTAGCAACCCTTCCCTTTTCGACATGGAGGATCGCACACTTATCCGTACGCAGCTCCCTTCCAATAGAATTGCTAAAATCACAAGTGATAGCAATTCGATGAGATGGGAGCGACTGGAGGCGAATAACTTGAGATCATCCATATAGAAAAGATGGGTCACTTTTGTACCCCCTTTTCAAAACTGAAATCCCCTTCCAGAACCCTCAAGTAAGGTACAGAGAGGG